CTCAATAATTTCTGGTTGTACTGTACATGTAAAAATGCATTACACATGTATATAGGCTGAGCATTTTCAAAGTGTCATACGAGTGGCATCAATTTGTTATAAGTAGTTTCTTAAAGCCATGCATATTCGTTTTGAAATCACTTGGTCAATATTTACGACGTAAGTCATCATATCTAGGTCAAATGAAAGTAAAATGGTATTCGTCTTCTAGACCTCCGTAACAGATAGGACATGTTCTCAAATTTGCGTTAATTTTACACCATCGTCCTTCATTAAATTTTAACCTTAGTAATCCTAAATATTTACATAATTTATAATCTGCAATTTTAAAAAGGTATTCAATAAGCTTTTGAATTCTCTATATACAAAATATAACGTGTGCTATTGTCAAGATCGGATCTCCAGTTTTGTTTAAAACTGTCAATAAGTGCGGTCATTTTCAAGATTCTGGCATACAACCCTTAACAAATCAAACCAGTATCCAAACTGGACACAATGTCAATAGCCGGTGTAGCCTCCACCTACTGTAATAACATCCCTGACCCTGGATACCATAAATTGAATTTGCATGACACTGAGATGTTGTTTTCCATTCTTGATGGAGGGCTTGTTCCATTACATTCAGGTTTATACTCCAGGATCTGTCTGACGTATTGTGCGAACCAACTGCCCCAGTTGTTAATAAAGGAGCCCCATATCAGCCACAAAATCAACAAATTTTCTAAGTTATCGGGTTAAGAACAGTTCCCTGAAACGATATTTGCTTAATTACGGGTGCAGACGTTAAGCTTGACTTTAAATGTAGCAAATATAAAAGTGACGTATTGTGCACCCCAATTATCAACATAACTTTGATATGAACATGTGGTTTACAAATCATCGGTGTTGCGATACTTTTTTACCATGTGTATACGTGGAAACAGCTCATGATGCTCATGGTCAAACTGCACCTGACTGAGAAGATAAACCTGCTTTATCAACCCTACTTGGATTCGTCCACGAAATATACACTTATCAGTACACGGTACTTCTGAAGTGCGTTTTGTGCGTGTCCAAAGGTATATAATCTATTATGCAGAACAATAGAAGCATATATCTTTTGTCACGACGTTGTGCAATAACAAGATGTTTATCAGTATTATCACAGAGATGTCACCTAATTCTTGATGTTTTACCTTCTGTTGCGACACATGACTGTGTTATCTTGTTGTTTATGTAAGTCACAGTATAACCTACTTTAATCAGTGTTATCTAAGACTTCCTGGTTCTGTCAGATACTGTTTGTCTTAACTGACCGTAGCTATTATCTGTAATGTGATGGCTCCTGTGTCAATCATACATAGGACAAGAGTGATGTTAGATTACAATATTGGTGCGCAATCTCGATATTTATATTTAAATATCAAAGCAAAATTGGTTATGCAAAATAGAATCTGTTTTAATAATTAAGACTGATTATCCTCTGGCACGACGTTTTATACTTTATCAATGGCAGGTGTATATGATGTGCAACAATAAACATTGCTCTTTACGGGATCCAAATAGATAACCTATATTTTGCAGGTTATATTTTATTCCCGTTCATTACGTAGTCGATAGGTTACCTCTCACGGTGTACTATCTAGCGACACCACAGACCTATTTAACATCAAACCTAAACTAACATTGTACTATAAATGTGAATTGAGTATTTCATTTAATAATTACATGTTCTTGTGACGTTAACTGAGCTCTTGACAATTTTGATGTGATGGCGTAGACAGTCTGTACACGCAGGTCACAACGTCGGGCTTCTTCTAGGTGTGGGTGGCTGGCTGGCTGTCTGGATTGGGTTGATAGATGATGGATAGGTAGACGGATGATGGATGGGTGGGTGGATGGATGGATTGGGTGAATAGATGATTGATACGTGGACGGATGACTGATGGGTGGCTGGCCGGCTGGCTGGATTGGATTGGGTGGATAGATGATGGATAGGTGGACGGATGATGGATGGATTGATGGGTGGATGGATGGATTTGGTGAATAGATGATGGATACGTGGACGGATGATGGATGGGTGGCTGGCTGGCTGGCTGAATTGGATTGGGTGGATAGATGATGGATTCATGGACGGATGAGTGGGTGGCTGGCTGGATTGGGTGGATAGATGGTGGATAGGTGGATGGATGATGTATGGGTGGCTGGCTGGGTGGCTGGCTGGATTGGGTGGATTGGGTTGATAGATGATGGATAGGTGGACGGATGATGTATGGGTGGCTGGCTGGCTGGCTGGCTGGATGGGGTGGATGTATGATGGATGGGTGGCTGGCTGGCTGGCTGGATTAGGTGGATAGATGATGGATAGGTGGATGTATGATTGATGGCTGTCTGGCTGGTTGGCTGGATTGGGTGGATAGATGATGGATAGGTGGATGTATGATTGATGGCTGGCTGGCTGGCTGGCTGGATTGGGTGGATAGATGATGGATAGGTGGACGGATGATGGAAGGTTGGGTGGATGGATGGATTGGGTGGATAGATGATGGATAGGTGGACGGATGATGGAAGGGTGGGTGGATGGATGGACTGGGTGGAGAGATCATGGATAGGTGGATGGATGATGGATGGGTGGGTAGGTAGATGGATGGATTGAAAAATGGGTGGGTTGGCAATAGTTGACAGGCATGAATGGCCTAAGGGCGTGGACACGTGGCACACAAATTTTGACAGCAATCGTATGGATGGCAGAAATCTTTGACAGAAATGTGTTTGACAACACTTATGCCATGGGTTTGTCTTCGCTTCAGACTACATCGTGACTGCTGCAACAGTTCCTTGACAAATCCATCCTTACAGCGAAATTTTCACCTTCCACCCAGTTTCCGCCAAGTCAGAAGGATGGGAAACTTTCCACTTTGCTTTCTTTTCTTCATCCTCATTGCGGTGGGTGAGCTATAAAAGCATCTTTCTTTGTACAAAAACATGTTTCTTCAGGACAAAACGGACATATTGCATCTGGTATGCTCAGTGATACACCAATTTGTTCGGAACTGATGTTGATGAAACTGAATTCCAAATTAGTATTACCAACAGCTTTTTATACCATATGCATGTTATTTTCTTAATTTATGCATAATTAGCTAAAATATATATTGCTCCAGTCTCGTTACCATGATTCCTTCAGCTGATAACTTGTATAGAATTATTGGCCAACTGACTGTCCTTTCACTTATCAGACTTTAAGGAAAGACTACAGAATAAAAAGCATATCTTTTTTGGGGGGTGATAACTTACTTTTCATTTCAAAATCGTTGGTTAGTGTTACTAACCGGAAGTCGTCCCAAATGGTTATATTTCATTTGATGCTCCCTTATTTTTTCAAATTTCATAGCTCGTGCTTCATGCACGTGCATTTGTCACATTGTCCGATAAAGTTACATGAATTCAAGTTTTCATGTAGCAGCGTCGTAATTGGGACTATGATGCGTTCTGGCGAATGTTTTCTGTTTGTGTTCAAACCTGCACCATCGTTTTTGGTAATTGTTTATACAATTACTTTAAAAGTGATAACTTTCTTTCGACCGGTAGCTTATAGAGTATGGTTTGATGTGTTTTAATCACACTAATCTGTTGAAGTAGAATCAACAGACTCTCATGATTTCACTACTACACAATATTGTAATTCTGTCTATTGATGATCCATGACCTTTCCTGGCCCATTTGATATTCTTCAAGTAATTTGACTCAATATTCACTGCACAATATACATTTTAATTTATCACTCCAGCGCCCGTGGCAGCTGAAACCTACTTAGAAAAATACGGGTAACTGAGGGAAGAATTAATCAATCCGTTAAAATACAACTACAAAGTGAGACCTGAAAATGAGACCTTCATCAACATTACTCTGGAATGAAGAAATCTGAACAAATTGGTAAGTGCATGTTTAGAATATCGATAGCGACTTCGAGGTGAGGTGAGGTGAGGTGAAGTTGGGTTTAACGTCGTGCTTGAGAATATTTCGTGCGGCTGCTTGTACTAGCCCAGACTTGAAGCTGGTTTTATAGTGCTAGCCCACTGAGATACCATGCCGCAGTGAAGCATGAATACCTCACTCAGACACATTATACTGACTCCGAGCCGACCAGTCCTTGTTGTACCCATTAATGCCGAGCGCCAGACAGGGACCAACAAGTACCATATTTTAACGTCTTTTTTGGTATGACGCGGTCGGGGATCGAACCCGCGACCTTCCGCTCTCCGGGCGGACGCTCTAACCACTACACCACGGAGGCGGTCCACTTCGAGGTTGGACTAAGGATAGTGTGATAGTTAGCTTAGTTTAAGGGATACTGCAACTTGACCTGAGACTCCTCTCAGGATAGTTACGACTGGGTAACAAATGGGTTCTTCACTCTAACTACAGTTACAAAAAAAAAGAACGAAAATCCATCCCTGAGTGCGAAGGAAAATATACGGAGAGAGGCTGAGGAAAGCACTGCAGTGTGCAAAAGGAAAACTGTTCAGCGAATGAAGGCAGGGCGGGTTGATAACTTAATAGTGAGTGAAGGCAGGACGAATTTTAAACTGTAAAGCTAGAGAAGGCAGGGCGAATTTTAAACGGTAAAGGCAGGGCGAATTATAGCGAGTGAAAGCAGGGCGAATTTTAACGGTATAGCGAGCGAAGGCAGGGCGAATTTTAAACTGTATAGCGAGTGAAGGCAGGACGAATTTTAAACTGCATAGCGAGTGAAGGCAGGACGAATTTTGAACTGTAAAAGCAGGGCGAAGTTTTAACTATATAGCGAGTGAAGACAGGGCAAATTCAAACTGTATAGCGAGAGAAGGCAGGAAGAATTGTAAACTGTATAGCAAGTGATGACAGGGCGAATTCTAAACCGTATAGTGGGCGAAGGGAAAGCGTTAACATAGCGAGCAAAGGTAACAATTGAAACCTTTAACGATTCCAATGTATAGGTGAATGTATAGAGGGCACAATGGAAGGAAGGACGGGATGAGGTGAGGTGAGGTGAAATGGGGTTTAACGTCGTACTTAAGGCTATTTCGCTCATGTGATGATGTGCATGCGTATATATACCGAGTCAAAAAAGAAACTTCACATTCTTTCTTCAGGGCACTATAAAAGAACAAGAGATGATAAGATGGTTAAATTGTTATTATTTCATTGCTGAGATCTGTGTGATGTACTCGATACACACTGACAGTGCCATAATCAGTTCCATTAGGCTACACCGCCGTTCCACAACATGGGTATACAGAATGTCCAGTCACAAGAATAAAAATGCGAAATTTCTCAGTTCAATATCCTGTATGGCCGCCCCGCGCATTCACCACTGCCAAACACCGTCTCCTCATCGACTGCCTGATGCTTGTGAACACGTGGTTTGGGGATTCTGCGCCATTGCTCTTGCAAGGCTGCGCCAAGTTCCTGCAAGTTCTGAGATTGGTTCCTAAGACAACGAAGCCTTCTCCCAAGTGCATCCCAAACGTGCTCTATTGGATTAAGGTCAGGGGACCTCGTTGGCCAGTCCATGACGTTGATTCCATCGTTTTGAAGGAAATTTCGTGTCAACACGTATGCGGCCGAGCATTATCATGCTGGAACTGTAGACCTGGGCCATGAGCCGCCATGAAAGGAACGAGTTCAGGGGTGAGCACCTGGTCGAGGTAAGCAGCAGCTGTGAGGTTTCCACGGATGACCTGAAGTCGGGAACGGTTGTTCCCACAGAAAGCACCCCACACCATGCAGCTTCCGCCCCCGAATCTGTCGACTTCCTGTACACAACATTGGGCATACCGTTCACGACGTCGTTTCCAGACTCTATGCCTGCCGTCCGAGAATCTGACGGTAAACCTGGATTCATCGCTAAAGACGACTCGATTCCAGTCTCTCTGGGTCCATCGGAGGTGACGTTGGGCCAACAGCAGACGTTGATGTTGATGAAACGGCGTCAATATTGGCCCACGATATGGACGTCGAGAATGGAGATTGGCAGTCCGCAACCGATTTCGAATGGTCTGTGAGGACAGTCGACCTCTAAACATCTCAGCCCTGGTTCGTGTAGCCGTAGGTGACGTAGGACGATTTGACGGTCTTCTGCTCGTGACGTCACACGTGGACGACCCGACGTTGGGCGATCAGAAGTGGTGCCAGTTTGTTATAGACGACCTCCTAAGTCATACACAGTACGACGGCTGCATCCCATTGCTCTTGCGACGTCAATAACTGATCTTCCCGCTTGCAACATGCCAACGGCACGTTCACGTTGCACATTTGACAATGGTGGCATTTCAAGTACCGTTAGAACTGTGGTTTAAAAGTGTTTTTTAACTTCTTGAGGCCAATGCAAACACGTGCATATGAAGAAAACTTCGATGCGAAGATCACGTGATCGACTGCACGTGCAAAACCTGATTTGGCACTAACGTCATTTGCACGACGAATGGATGGGTTTGAGTGGGTTTTGATAACGTTTTTCTAGAGTCGAAAGATAAGGATCCCATTTCGGATACATAGATGTATCCATCAGAGAAAAATTATTCATTATTTTTCAAATTACATTTTGTGAAGTTTCTTTTTTGACTCAGTATATATGTTACTTACCATACAACCAGGTAACCATGACACACTCCAGAAGAGCAGCCACAGTGATGAAGATGGTGACTATGTACCAGTCCACCAACTGAAACACGTACACCCCATTCTGAAATTAAGAGTCACATACCATTATAAGAGATGATCTATATGGATATGAGTCGGATCGTCCCGCCGACCTTCGCGTTTCGACCCATCATGTAGAAGTCCGGCGAGAAAAGACACTAAACAGTAGGCTGCGTTAATTGGAACCCCCCATCTCAGTAGGGAGGGATACTCGTCCATGATGGCAGCCATGAAGGTTTCAACATGAGAGAACTTGATAAAATAAATTAACACAAAATTTGAGCTAATAAGACAAAATATAATACTAAAAGGAAAACTGTAGTTTGGAGAACAACCAGATGATAAATGGCATTCATAGTTTGGTGTGTATTTCATTTTCAACTCTCCATTCATGATCTGTATAGATCCTGTAAGTCTCGTGAGGCGCTTTTTCCGGTACTAAACTGGTTCTCTGCTCCCTTTGAGCGCTAACATGCAATATGCGAGACGGGGCCCAGCCTACTTCTGGTACCAGATTTCCGGTGTCAAGCGGATATTCAAGAACCAGTTCTGGTTCCAAATTGCGCGACAGCGAAATATGACTTTACTAGACGGGAGCAAATGTACAACCACGCTTGACATTATTGACCATCTCGTGTCATTCCGGGACAAGCCGAATAGCGACTCGTGCCTCTCTGGAAGGATTTCATATTTGCGAGTGAACATCAGAACTACTTTAAACAAGAACGATAACTCTATTCCTGTTTGATTCCAATTTTACTGAACATCACCGAAGCACTCGTACATTATCAATTTTAAAGTATTAAACCTCTTTGATACAACTAAAATAAGAGGACTGACAGAGTTTGGTTTTACGCCGCTTTGAGCAATATTCCAGCAACATCACGGCGGGGGACACCAGAAATGGGCTTCACACAATGTACCCATGTAGGGATTCGAACCCGGGTCTTCGGCGTGACGAGCCAACGCTTTAACCACTAGGCTACCCCACCGCCCTAAAATAAGAGGAACAAATATTTGTTAAAGACATATTGTAACGTAATATTAGCAGCTTTTCAACTTTAGCAGTATTAGCAATATTAGCAGCTTTACAAATATATATTTCTAAATACGTTTTAAGAATCACAAATGGGATTTATTTTATTGAATCCTAAAGTAGATATTCAAAAATGGCTTTAAAATATTTCCGAAACTGAACATTCGTGTAACCTTGCTGCCATACCCTTGGTGGAATTTTGAAATGAATACGCTGAAAAAATATAAATGCCCCCCCCCAAAAAACGTCAGACTAAAATATCCCCAGAGATGTGAAACGTAAGCCCAATGTCAAAGATAAAAGTTGATTCGTTACATACATTATTATTATTTTGAAACTCGTAGCAATACATAATTACACTTCCTAACAATGTTGAAAGCGCACGTACAATCTCCAAAACTAGCCCGCAAGATCGTCAGAAATAGACTCAGTTGCACGTGTGACAGCCGTTATGGCAACAAGCGAACGTGCGTGTATTTGATTCTCTCACCATCCATGGCATTAATTTTCCTTACTAAAATCTACACATGAGGCAACACAGTTATGTTAGCTGCAAAAATAAATGCGTTCTTTGTACTTTAAATATGACGATATATATTTTTTATGATTTTTTAAACAAACACATAATGACATAATCGATTTAAGTACTGATTATTTTTATCAAAGCGTCGCAATCATTACGCGCGTTGTAATTGGTTTGTCGTATTTTCGCTCATAACAAGCATCGATAGGGGTCAAGTCTTCTTGGAGGGTACAGAAAGGGACGAGTGGTGACGAATGCCATGCTTGACTGTCACAGCTGCTGACAGTCGTAATAGTTCTGGAGAATATCGTCTACCGCCTCGACAGAATAACAACAAAGTGAACGCCCCATTGAAAATGTGTCAGTGAGATTAGTTTTACGCCGCACCAGGCAATATTCCAACTATGTGGCGGCAGTCTGTAAATAACTGAGTCTGAACCAGACAATCCTGTGATCAACAGCAAGAGTATCGATCCCACGCAATTGGGATACGATGTCATGTGTCAACCAAGTCAGGGGGCCTGACCATCCGATCCCGTTAGTCGCCTTTTACGACAAGCATGTGTTACTGAAGACCAATTCTAACCCGGAACGCCCATGGATGAATTATCGACCTTAGTGACACTCCAGATATGGCAGATGTATTACAGCATTGTGAGGTAAGGACTATAGTTACCTGATGATACAACATCCGTTATTGGTACACTGGCCTCATGTGACATGTATCCAAGTATGGAGAACACAACCAGACCAGCAAACATGCTTGTACCTTCACACATGAACGTGCAGAAAATCGCATTCCTGAATGCAATACAAACATTGTGACAACCTATGACTATGCAATCAGACCAAAATCTTGATGTTGTATGCTTAAAATGCTGATTTGATTTACATACCCAAAGCTTGATGTAGTTCATCAGCCCCATAAAATGCAGTCATATAGCTTGTGGAAGAAGGGATCGTGTTCATAATGTATGGCTGGGGGTGGAGGGTGATGATGATGATTTTTATGGAGAGGCATGTGCAATGGGAATGATCCCCCTAAGATTTATGTACAAAGTAAGTGGCCCCACCCCCGACCCCTCATTTCATGTACAAAATCAATTGCCCCCTCTTCTACATAATTGTTAAGCATAAATAAAATCATCACCATCATCCCCTATCCAATAATTATGAACGGTCCCTAATTATCAAAGTCTTTCTTGTACCATCGTAAAGATCCCACCATAAAGAAATAATTGGTAAACTCATTTTTATTTGTAGATTTCCATGCAGTCATTTTTGTGTTAGCACTGGCTAAAGCTTTAGGGACTATTCGATTATGCTAAACCGGTTTGGGTTTCTGGAAAACCATGCACTCGTGTATGTCGAAACCTAAAACTTGGTTCTGAAACTTCGAAACCATCTCCGAGGCATGTTTCGCAGTTTCGGTTTCGCGTTCTCTCACAACAAACATGGCGGAAAAGATCTTGGTGGCAAAATAGAGCAGCAGTTTCTGTAACCAAAATAATGATACAAATGAACTGAGAACAAGGAAAATATTATTTAAAACCCCAGTCTATTGAACATAACTATTTTATGTAACTTGTATACATATAATTACTTGTAACAATATAATTACATATACGCAAATATTTACTTCCAAAGCATCTCATCTCTTTATTATTTCTTAATTCCCTGATAAAATGACCAAAAAATATTACATTTGGCAATGCTGTCATTCAATTCGTTCCTCATATATACTCAGCAGCAAAAAAAAACCCCAGTACCAATTCAAAATTAGAGAGGCACAGTAATCAAATCATTACAAAAATGGACATAATAAGAGGTACAATATCTTGACACATTAATAAATAACTCAGCTTAATTTCAAGACATTACGTGAACGTTTGCAGTTCATTCAGACTCTTGACTTCAGTATCTAATGTGACCACCACGAGCGGCAATAACTGCAGCACAGCGTCTATGCATGGAGTCCACCAATCGATTGATGAAGGCCACTGGCACCTTGAACCACACTCTGAGAAAGGCCTGGCGCAATAAATCGACTGTGTTCGGCCTTGGTATGACATGATTCAGTCTCCTCTGAATTTCATCCCAAAGATATTCAACTGTGTTTAAATCAGGACTAAGTGCTGGCCACTGCATAATGTTGACACCGTTCTGCTGTAGGAAGTCCCGTTTAGCTCTGGCAGTATGGGCCCGGGCGTTATCATGCTGGAAAATCTTGTTCCGGTGACGTGCGAAATATGGTATGACGTAGGGTCTGAGAGCTTGGACGATGTAGCGCACCGCTTTGATCCCGCCTCCTCTCCCTGGACCAAGGTTCCGGAACACAACAGGACCGACTCACTGGTTCAGGCCTATTCCACCCCCATACCATGACGTTTGAACATCCCCATGAGTCTCTTTCCATAACACATTGGTCTGAGTAACGATGGCCACGTTTTGGTGTTCACGCCGATGACGAGGGGTGGGGATAGGTCCACGGTAAGGTCAACGGCAATTGAGGTTCCCGCTGTTAAGACGTCGGCGTACTGTATCAGTACTGATTGGTCTTCCGTGTGTTCCCACTGTCTGGCTTGCTGTTTCGGATGCCTGCACGAAGGGATTCTGAACATGCTGTCGCACAACATGGCGGTCTTGTCGTCGCCTGGTTCCTCTGAGCTGTCGTGAGAAGGGGTATCCTGCTGACGTTGTAATGTGAATGTTTCAACCAGGTTTGGGAATGCATTTTATAGGGCTGGTCCTTGTGAACAGCACGTGCAGCATGAGTTGCTTGAAAAACATGGAGAACACCGTACCATCTCTGAGATCAGGTTGCGTTTTGGAGACCATTTCCTGGGTTTGGGAAGGAATGTCTTTGCTCAGGTAAAGTTGGAGACGTTGTCAAACATATACAATCAAAACATTAAATGAGTTTACAGAAAATTCCAAACTGACGTTTCTTTTGCTGCTTAGTATATAATAGATGAGACATTTAGTTTGTATCGATTTTGAAACCGGATGGTGAAACCATCAACTCGTTTATAAAACTAGAAACTAGTTTCACTTTGAAACCATATATCCGAAACTGGACACTCGTTTATAACAGGAGAAACCAGTTTCAGAAACCAAAACCAATTTCGCAATAATCGAACAGGCCCTTATTTGAAGCAGAACACAACTTTTCTATTTTATACCGAATGATATCATAAACATAGTTCAGAAAACAAGTATACTGTAGTTTGTTGTTTTACGCGACGCTGCACCCTACCCGAGCCGATAAGTCGTCTCTTACAACAAACGTGGGTGCTGAA